GCGTCACGAGTGACGAAAAACTTACAAAAGTGCACCGCACACGACAGCTTTCTCCTTACGCCAACAGTCACGAATGACATTTTGCTAAGCACATGGCTCTAGTGTGCGTCGGGCTTAAAGGCTGGCGCACACTGGAGCTATGTGCTTAGCAAAATCTCATTCGTGACTGTTGGCGTAAGGAAATAGCTCGAGTGTGTGGGCGATTTACAAACGACTTTCGTCATTCGTGCCACTTACGGCAAATATAGTTAGAAGACAAACTTGTCGTGATAATGCTGTTCCAACAACTTGTCAACAAGATATGTTCTCAACAGGCTTGTAGCAAGCTTGTAGACAAGTTGTTGGAGCAGCATTATCACGACAAGTTTGGCTTCTAAAATTGCCTCAGCCAGCAATTCATTTTGCGCGCATGCGCTGTTATGACAATCCGCAAGCAGGTAGCTTTCGTTCGCCGCACATGGAATGATTTTGGCACGCGAGGCAGAAATTATCAAACATGTTAGATATTTGCCGTACGTGGCACGAATGACAAAAGTCGTTCGTAAATCGCCGGCACACGAGAGCTATCTCCTTACGCCGACAGTCACGAATGCCATTTTGCTAAGATTTTGCTCCTGGGATTTGCTCCTGGGATTTGCTCCTGAAAGCGTTGATAGAAATTAGAATAACACAAAGTTATTTGTAATGCAGAAAACTAATTATGAGTTCGAATGCGAATGGGTCAACTATTGTGCTTACGCACGCTTGGAATCAGTTCTGAATCATTCAAATTCTAAAAACATTGTATTTCAAAGGTTTGCAGGTTTTTTGATACACCCTGATTATACAGGGTGTCCCAAAAAGCCGACTGAACCAGTGAAAAAATGTATTGGTAGAATTTGAATGCCTTAGCACTAAGCTGAACGCAAAGATGGGTAAAATATTGACAGGGTGCCGGCATACTGTACAGGGTGAGTAAAAAAAAACTGATACCTTCGCGGCTAATTTGAATAACAAAGGTGTCAGTTTTTTTTACTCACCCTGTATTAACAAATTAAAATACCTTTGTAAAGGCGCACAATTTTCTGCTCTTGGGAATTTAAAGCAGCTTCTTAAACAGTTTCTTTATGCATAAAATTTATTTATGTTAATCTTTTATCACTTGTGTGTTCAGCAGAGTGCTGAGGCATTCAAATTCGAACAATATGTTATTTCAATAGTTTGCAGGTTTTTGGGGGCACCTTGTACAGGATGTATAAAAAAAACGCAACCTCGGAATTTCCCAAGAAATCGACATTGTTTTAAGGACAAAAGATTTTAGGTGCCTGGGAATTCAAAATAGCACAACTGTCAAAATTACGGTACACGCGAGTGCGTCAAGCAAAATTTATGCATTTATTTAATGACACTTAATGAGTTTTTATTTTACAAGTACTGTACAGCATAACAACAGTAATATGATCTATTAGCAATTCGATTTAAATTCCCAGAGGCCTAAAATCTTTTATGCTTAAGAATTGCAAAGTGGATTTCTTAGGAAATTCCGAGGTTGCGTTTTTTTTATACACCCTGTAGAGTCACTGATGAATTCAATATACAGTAGAGTGGTTAATGAATTCAATAGAGTGGCGATAACGATTCAATCTAGCTTTTCATTAAACCTTTTGTTTTCTTAACCCCACATTTTCCCTACGCTTCAAAGCCCTCGCTACTTGATGATTTAAGATCATAGATATCTTATATACACTAGATAGCGCATCTCTTTTAGTAAAATTGAAGCCAAGAATATTCCAGCGGTTACCCCTATTTGAATAGATGGCGGCCATGTTGGTCGTTCCCACTTGCTAATAAACGCTTAAAAACAGCAATAACTTTCATCATTTGAATAGTTTAAAAACGTATTTGGAATAGGGTTAACTTAATGTTTAAGTTCCCTGTTTACGAAATAGAAAACATACGAATCTTCTCATTTCATGAGAACGACCTGAGACTGCAATCACGGCTTCAATTTTTGAATTGCAGTATAATTAGATGCACTATCTAGTGTATATGAGATATCTATGTTTAAGATACTGTATATTTCATGTTATATTGACGTTGTTTTTGTTAGTTTCAACTTCCTGTACCCTTTATGATTTCGTCCCATGATTTCGATTGCACTTCTCAAATTACTAATGTGCTGCATCATATCATTGGAAGTGTCGTCTATGTTCGAGTCAACGTGGAAATTAATTTCTGAACGAAGAGCTGAACATAGGTCTCGCAAATGTGAAGGTAAAGAATAACATTCATATTCACTTAGAAAGAATGGGACGTCGTCATTAGAAGAAATGTTAAAATAAACTGGAACGATTTGAAGACTTCTGTTATGGTGGTTTACCATTTGTCCTAACATCATGTTGAGGATGAAAGTATATGGGCCGTCTAGATAAAAAATATTAAATTAAGCGGTCATATGATATTAGGAGTGTAGTGGAGGGGGCATGTATGTGATTGCATAGGGGATTGCGCCCGCCTTGTTGGGGCTTCAACGAGCTGAATCCGTCTTGATAAAATTCCATGTCGATTTGGGGCCCTTATTTTGCAGATTACATAGTGATAACCGGGAATGGTAATTATTTTAGGAATCTGTACTTGATGATATCATAATCTTTTATTTCAAGGTAAATCCTTTCTTGAAAACACACTAATTGAGAATGGCTAGTACCAAACATTTATGGTAGATGTTGCATCCTCCACACTTTGTCACCCCACGCCTAATTGTCAGCCTAGCCTATGCCCTTCATTAACGTTTCATGACTATACATGCACGCCTATATAAAATTATAATCTCAACCGAGAGCCATTAAGCATATGATTTAGCGTTATTATGAGGATTCCGAAGTCAGAAGACAACCTGCGGTGTTTGGTGAATCAAACTTGCAACACTTTTATCGCATGGAGCTGAGGGCAGTCATAACGACATGTAGGAAAAAGTATATCGAAGTGGAAGGTAAAAGACACTAATAACAAGAACTGGTTTTCAGTGTAGAAGAAATTATAGCAATGCATATCTGCAGAAGTTAGGGAGCCATGGATCGATGCTTTCTCCGTAGTCTAACGCCGAGTTTCAGTCGTTTCCACTTAACGATATATATACGTACGGCTACCATTCAGTGGTTTCAAAATAAGCCGTCGCCCGTCGCATCCGACTGCAACTCTTCCATTGCGACGGCTACTTTCTCTTTTGTAAGTAACTACAAATTCTAATTAAGTGCATGTTTCCAAAATGTTTTGTGAGCAAACAAGCGTGTATTTCCCCTGGAATTTCGTCAAAACATAGCCACAGTGACAGATCACTAGAATAGAAGCTTTGATACGTACGCGTCTCTTGTGCGTTGAGGACAGGCTCAGAGGTTTTCTTGGTAGCAGTTTCTAACAGATTGTACTTTATGTAAGATGTCACATTCGTCTCCAAGAACAAAAACAAAATGGCGGAAAAACGACAACGAAAGCCAGCGGAGATGTGGTCGCTATTGTTATTAGACCGCTTTGTTGTTATAGGCATTAATTATAAGAACATAAATTTAACAGTGTTTTAGACATTTAAAATATGATCTTTTGTATCTCAAAAACAAATGCTGGAAAATGTATCTTCTAGAGTCTAGAAGTTCAAAATTTTCTGGAAGTAATACCAGAAACTGCGGAACAGGGGAGCTTTAGCCCCCAATAATTTTCCATACGTATATGATTTTTATAAAATAAGAATACTGAACTCTTTCAGATCAGTCAACAATATATTTATAACTTATATTTGCCAAGTATTCAATCTATTTCTGGTTGGATTAAACAGATGACGGGTAATATTAGATTAAGCGGAGTCGTTTATTAAGAAACTTTTTAACAGCAACTCGTTAATTTCGTTGCATTTCCAGGGCTCTGCGAGGTCTCAGATTTCAAAATTTCCCGGGGCAGCATGCCTCATAACTTCTCTAACAAACTCTCGCCTTCAGCGTTTGCTATAGCCCCCCAATCCAAAAATGGCTCCACGGTCCCCCAAGTTGCGAAGTTCGGTTTTCAGTTGCAACTCCTACTCTTCCCAACGCAACGTCTACTATGAAATGTTTTGAAACCACTGCCATTCCGTTAAATATTCACCACATTTCTTTTATAGAATTGTGTTTACACCATAACAGAGTGTTTGCCATGGTCCACTACGTTTGGCACTCCAGATGCAAATCAACGCGCTGCGGTAAATTCATAGTGTAAACGAGGCTTAAATTGAAAATGTGGACCGTTCAAAACATGAATTAAGACTAACTCCGAAGTTACAGGCTAACTCCAAAAATAATGTGAAGGCAGTGGGGCTAGCTATCTAAAACTGCAGTTGCTGGTTAACAACACCAAACAGTCTTGGTTATACCTCCACGTAAACAAAATATACACTCGTGTGGAAGTAAAAGGAAACAACACAAACCTTTTTTGTGCTCTTTGTCGTCGTACATTCTCTTTCCATCTTTAGTACAAACAACAATAATTTTATTACAACGCTTTATCTCCTCCTCATACCAGCCCATTCCTCTCCTCACAATCTCGTGATTACTACAGAAATCCACAACACATTTAACGTATCCAGTTCTATCTAGCAAATTTGCGAGTGCATGAGTGACGTCTTTGCACATCCCGCAGTGGTTGTAATGAACAATGAACACTCGAGATTTATCTGAAGCAGAAAAACATTTGAAAGTCACATATGGCTATGGGCTACCATAAGTAGGAAAACACCAGGGGGGTGGGGCCGGTTGTACGAAGGCCGGATTGCGCTATCCACCGGATAGTAATTTTTTCAACTTTTGTAAAAGTGCTTGAAAACTGTGAAACTACGGACATAGACGACACAAGAAGTAAAAAAAACATTTAACTTTCAAATATTAAACTTTAATACGAGTTATACTAATCAACGACTGATTTAACAAAGCTTGAAAAAATCACTATCCAGTGGTAGCGCTATCCGGCCTTTCTACAACCGGCCCCAGATGTATAACCACTACCTTTATATACAGTGTGCAACTTGGCCCCTGGAGCAAGGGTTATAATATATTATTGACCAACGCCTGGGAACGTAAAGATTGAGATCTCCCACCTGTCCAGTTGATCGTACGGCCAGCAAATGGTATAGATTGTCTATAGCCACTTACAGAACTTCTTTTCATTTCTCTTTAGAAACTAGTGAGGGTCTCCCAGCGAGGGTCTATGTTCTTCCCATGTTCACTTGGAAATTTTTCCTTTGTTCCCTTGTTCCCCACAAAGATTTCACTATGCATTGTTCCCATTGCAAACTATGTCTTGTTCCTTGTTTCCTGGAAACCGCTGTGAGACCCTCACTAGTTGAATTTTTTAATGTAAATAGTGATACAAAGCAATAGTTCAGGAAAAAAGTTAAGTTACAAAATGGAATGTATTTCACAACATATTCAGAGCTTGCAGTCACGCGAGAATATTACTTCACGCTAGAAATCCGCGATGTTGGGTTGCAGAAATAATGGTTGGCATTATCCACATCAGTAGACTGTATATTGAAGAAATGTGGGAAAATTGGACGGCTAATTGACACAGTACAGGTTTTTATTTCGATTTGAATATTTGCCATCCAAAGTGGCAGAAATCAAAGAGATACGTCAAAATTATGTGTTGTGACATCATTTGCAAGGGTCAGTTCTCGCAGTGCGAACTTACGCCTGGGAACGAGAATCGCCAGTATTCTATGCAGTCACAAGTGCATTGTATAAATACTGTAACGATAACTCCTAATAAAAGGCCCTATATGATTGGGAGAAGCCAACATTGCGGCCAATGGAGGGTTTCTTGTAGGTATAAAACACGCGTGTACTTCGCGTTGGCTTCGCGTTAACTTAGCTGAAAAAGTTTTCAGTTTTGAAAAAGCAGTTTTCAGTTTTTCCACGTAAATTCTAATTTTTGTGGTAAATAACTTCCTTAAAAGCTAAAAACTAAACAAAAAGATAAGATCGATGCAACTGCAATCCATATTATCCTGTTTTCTTTTCACATCCCTCGATCATATAAATGCAGTAGTCCATATAAACAAATAAAGTTTGCTGAGTCCGCGGTTTTTTACCCGAACATGTTTTTTACTCGAACATGTTTTTTACTCATCAAATAACTTTGTTTTTTTTGACTAAGTGTTTCTAAAATTTACTTATTCTGAAAGGCGACCAACTCGCCACAGTTTATTAGGGTCATTGTATAATTAATTAGCAGAAGAAAATATCAATCGACTGAACAATTATGAATTTTCTACATTAAACGATGCCGATGTTTTGCGCTAAATTCGGAGTGAATTTCCGCGCATAGGGTTTTGGGCATACCTACAAGACGGCCTTCGATTCCCGCCTTCTTGGCTTCAAAAACAAAACCAGAGTTATCGTGTCAGTTTTATACAGAGATCACTGGTAGTCATGCAGTTTTGCGATTATTATATAATTTTCATATATATTGATGTTAGTAACCATATGCATGCATGCATGCATGGTCATAACGCTCTAGTGGTCCACAAGTTTCAAATCGTGGAACAATAGAAAACTTTCACCTTTTTCCATGGTATTTGATTTAAATTATTATTAAAATTCCTGAATTATACAAAGGTATAAAATTTTAAAAAATATTGATAAGTGATAACATACCTGTATGTGCCGGATTTGGGATGACCTCTGGAGTATCTGTGATCAACCGACCCGGATCTAAATAACACCAGATACACAGAAAATCATGTGACAAGTTAAAAGTTGTGTTCCATTTCATACGTCTGTATAAACTAACAATTTCACTTATATACAGAGTGCATGTGCACGAAAATATCACGTGTAATTTCACTTGTGAAATAACTTTTCAAAAGTAAAGTGTTCCATTTCGACATGAAATAATAATTTCACAATTCATATGTAAAGTTAATTCTCACATATATAGAGAGTATTAGACGGTTGCGAGGAGATATGGATTTTATGTTCCAGTGACAAAAACAATATCTCACGAGTGAGCCGAGCGAACGAGTGCATGCATGATATATTGTTTTTGACACGAGAACATAAGTCCACTTCTCGCAACCATTTAATGCTCTGTTTATTGTATGGACTTTTTCAGAGTGATATACAAATACACGGCAAGACGACATGTAAATAAGCACGCGAAAGACAAGTGTAAAAGCGATATTTTTAAAATTATAGTCCAAACATAAAACTCGAATAAATTCTACTATTATCGCAAGATGTCTTCTGAATGTTTTCGTTTTATTTCCAACAATAATTCCGTTTTATATACGAACCAGAGACATTTGTAGCTTATTTTCAAAACAACAACAATGAAAATAGTGGGAAATTTTCGAACTTCGTATCATGTCACTCGTAAGCGGAAAATACGAAAAATACGCGCACCTGTGAAAATTATAAAGCTTCTAGTTATATATGAAATGGCCATTTTTACATTTTGTTGTGAAATGCTCCAATTCCACATAAAATTTCACATGCGAAATAACATGTGAATTTTCCGTAAAGGTTATGGAATCGGGCTAAGTTCCCGGTTGACACCTACATTTAGAATTTAACCTTTTAGCAAGTGACTCCATTTGGATCCCAAAAGATACTATGTACCAAAATTTATGATAAACACGGCAAGAAAACTCTTCGACTTTGACATTTACAATTCATTCACAAGTGCAGATCGAGTAAGCTTTAAACTTTAGTTTTTCCACATGATCTGGTTAAAATAAAGTCAGCTATATGTCAAAAGTAAATGAGTGCATGAGTGTTTCCACTTGCAGTGAAAAATTTTGCGAAAGTTTTCAAGGAAATGATTGTTGAAACAGAGGCAAAAGATTCCCTCGCTTTTTTGTCGTGCTCAATCAAGTTATTGAGCACACATTTCAGCCAACGTTCTTATCTAACATTTATCAGTTATATCAACACTCTTGGAGATTGGGAAAACGAGAAATTGTGTGGAAACACGAAGCCCGGAGGACGAAGTGTTTTCACACAATTTCGAGCTTTCCCAATTTCCACGAGGGTTGATATTGATGTATATCAATACGAAAAAATGTTTTATTTTTATATTATATAGCAAGAAAAATAAAGAAAGGAATTTTCCGTGTTGACATTGATTCATGTCAGCATGGCTCTTAGCCAATCAGCGTTCAGAATTTACAAATGCTATATTATAATTCTAATTTCCACATAATAATTATATATAAAATGAGCAGTTTCACGCGTGAAATTATGTGTGAACTTTCCGTACTAAGAGCCGAACAATCGAGCATGCATGTGTCAGAGGTGAAACAAACATAATATAATACCAATGCTGCGATGTCAAGGTAACTATGCAATCTATGCAAGTACCTGAAATTAACATATACGCAGAACTTCGATGTTTCGAGCGAAGACCCTTCGCTTCCACGAAATCAATTTAATTAAATGCGTGTGAGCTTCATGAGCTACAATCAGTGACAAAACCTCGTCCCCCGCCCCTCTCTTCAATGTTGGTTAAGGGCAAGTTTGTATGGGCAAAAAGCCTTTAGACAGCCAATACAGATAATAAATTTAGCGGCCATAATTTTGTTATTCATAATGTTGGTTAAGGGCAAGTTTGTATGTTTTAAAAGCCTTTAGACAGCCAATAGTCCCAATAGATAATAAATTTAGCTTAATTTTTGTTATTCAACATTAAAAAGGGGAGAGAGGTGCGTATATCACAGAATTAATTTAAGTCTAATGTCCAGAAAGTTTTGTCACCGATTGTAGCATCACCATGAACCATCCATGCGTTGAATGAGGTCATGAGTTTTAAAATTTACTGACCAAAATGAAATAATATTAAGTATTTGTTACACGCACATCTTGCGAATTTTCTTTTTCTTTTCACAAAAATGACTGCGATAAAACCCAGGATAAGTAACCCAACAGCGATAGTACACGATACGATGACATCTATATATCTTTTTGTCGTTGGTTTCGCCGAGCCTATATTTGCAAATTATTAAAATATTAGAAGTACATAGGTGTACGAGAGGGAGGGGCCTGTTTTGTCGGGCAGATTCTACTTAAAAGATCTGAAAAATTGCTATATAGGCAGGCCTGCCTCGGTATAATGCATTTTGTTTTGATATTAATGTTGAGATAAGTGATATTAATGTATTCGTGGGACTACTGTAATTGGACATTGCCCATGGACAGATTGATTATTAATAAATTGCGGTTACATTTGGATGAGAATTGGATGAGAAATCAGCAAAGTTTCAGTCTTGCTTTCCCATGCAGAGTAAACGGAATGCTTAATTAGCCCATTGTATTATTTATGCATGATACATAAATCAATTCCTGGCGGAAGTATGCTCCGAGTGCCCTCTATTTTACCAGTATAAGTCAGAAAACGTATTGCCTATTGCCTAATAATGCGTCAGCAAGACCGTTCGTTCGAAAACTCTTTCGTTTTACTTTCCATTTTTCGTCAGTCACATGCAGGAGGTCTTATTAAAGGATTGACATTTAACTTCACGTGAATAACTTAAGTTGACCGAACTTACTAGCAGTATAAAAATAAAAATAAATTGTAATCCCTTGCGAAAATAACTATATTATATTGCTATTTTAAAACTATTTTATTACTATCACCCCTATTTTTATGCTATTTTATTCAGAAGCAACCCTATTTTAATTCTATGATAATATTTCACCAAAAGAAAGAGCCATATTTTATTAATGTTTTATTTTATTTTATTCCTATTTTTATAGATAATAGAAATAAAATCGCATATTTTAATACTATTTTCCAGAGCTTCAGGGAAAAAGTAGGTTTAAAATAGCCTATTTAAATACTATTTTTAAACTCATAAAATAAAATAGGCTGTTTAAATCCTATTTTACATTGCAAGTTAAATGCACAAATTTCAAACAGGAATAAAATATACTATTTTAATCCTATCGTTCCTTCATAGTTAGTAAAATAACAATAAAATAGACTATTTTAAACATATTTTGCACGTGCAGAAAATTACATAAATTAAAATAGATATAAAATATAGTGTTTTAAAGCTTTTATTTTTCAGAATACGTAAAACAGAATAAAATAGACAATTTTAAACCTATTTCACATTTTAAAAATGCCACATTTTTCAAATATAGGGATAAAATATACTATTTTAAACCTATTTACTTTCCCTAATTTGCAAAATAGAATAAAATACACTATTTTAATCCTATTTTACATTTACAGGAATTCAGGATTACAATTTGCAGATATGTATAAAATAGTCTATTTAAATTAAACATACTGAATTTTCCTACTTAGCAAAATGAAATAAAATAGAACCGTATTTTACATTTACACAGATAAGGGACCAATCATTAATAATGGAAGGGGGTGAGGGGCGGAGGGTGAGAAAAGGAGGAGGCTTCAACTAGTGCGTACAGCGTCATCCCCACTGGTCATCCCATGCAGTGCTTCCACTTGCAAGGAAATTTCTTTGCAAAAAGAAATAAAATTTACTAGGAAACGGCAAGGAATTTTGTTTTCAGCAAGCAAATAAGGATATTACGTTATTTCTAATAAATCCTAAGATTATAGCAATTCCCAAGCAAATTCGCGTCAGGAAATGTTGAAAATCCAAACTACTCCTGGGGAATGGAAAATCTGAAGAATTTCTGAGGCATGACCTCAAGCCTCCTGTTGCAGTTTTTTATAATTAATTTATAATTTATAATTGCAACGTTCATGGTGTTTCTCGCCCGAGAAATACACCGTCATTCAAGATGAATTATTGTAATATCAGTTTTAAACTAGGTAAAATTCATCTTCATCAAAGGAATTTTTGTCAAAAATAAGGAAATTTTGAGCAGTTGGAAAGCATCTACATTACCAGCAATTTAATTGTGGATTGATTCAAAATTCAGGCGATAAAGTTACATAGCTAGGAGTTGGCTTTTGTGCTCTTCGAATATCAGTTTTTATTCGCGGATTACCATAACTTGTTGGCCTCATGGGTGCCAAAATCGACATAAACGTAAACTGCTAACCAAAAGCTATAAAACAAATAGCTTTTGAAAAGATAAACTTTATTCAGTCAAAAGGATGAGGGTAAATAAACATGCTACTGCGTGATAGTGATTTCGAAGCAACTTTGTCACATATATTTGAAAAAGTGTGATAATTAATCAAATTTTGCTTTTTGCAATCCCAAAAAGTTATGAAAATTATTTAAATATTTAAGGTTTCCGTGTTTCTAAAGTATTTTTTTGAGAAAAGTAAAAGTTTTCCCGATAAAAAAGCATAGTTTCTGCAGAAAACTGTTTTCTGATAGAGAAGGTCCTGGGGGAGGGGGTGTAGAAGCGTGCGCGGATAGCAAAAAACCTTGACGTTTCCTCCAAAAAATTAATACCAAATTTTGTTTTGCCTTTGTTTGATATGTAATTTAAACAAGTTTTTTTACATCTAAAAATTGCCCCTAGTGGTCAAAATTTGGATTATGTTTGCAGTATTGGCTATTTGTTTACTTTTGGGGATCAAAGTTTGAGGTCCAATTATTTTAAAAGTTTGCAAACTACCCAGCTAATTCTTGGCTGTTGTTTGCAGCCTTGTATGCTGATTAAAATTTAGTTTAGTCCACAATAGTAGATCCTTTCAATGAAAGGAAATTAAAAATAGTATATTTGATTACTTTTACAGCACAGTCATTACGTAGGTAGGGTGCAATACCAGGCCAAATTGCAAAAAAATTTACCGAAATCTCCAAATTTAAAATCATATTTTTTTTCTCCCAAGGCACATAGGAAACATAATTTAACAATGAATTTTGTTGAAAAATTGCCCCTTTGGGTCTAATTTCGCTTTGAAATGCGTGCGTTTACTGCTCTTGTATGAAGCAAGAGTTCGAAAACATTCCGAAGTACTGTAAAATGTAATGAAATCGGCAACTTGACCTTGCCCTTGAGACCTTGTACTGCCTCAGCAGTGAAATGTTTTTTGACAACGATAATTTACCAGTGTTTCTTGAATATTTTCCTTGTTTAACTAGTAGAACCGAACGTACAAGTGCATCAGAAGACTAAGCGAGAGTTTCGTGTAGAAATGCTCTGTTTACGGGAAGTTATTTTGCATTCGCAAGCGTCAACAAAAGCCGGCATTTTCACATTTTCATGTTTGATTATCATAGCGATAGATAAAAGCTTTGAAAGTTCAATTGAAAACATTTTAAACCACCCGTATTTGTATAGTATATATGTTAGTTGTATTAACATTGAACTTCTTTCTGTTTGAACCCAAATTTGTACTTGTTTTGCGTTTGACAAGGCTGTCAAGCTCGCGACGATTGGCTTTTTAGGCTCGTTTTTAGGCATGACTGCAGATTTAGCGTGTCAAATGTCTTCTTGTTTGTGTCAAGATTATAATATTCTATTGCTGTTCAAACGAGATATTCTATACACTGGAAACGTAGAGTACATTTTACTTTGTCTTTGTCTCAAGCAAAAAAATTATAAAGATTAAACAGGCATTCAAAAATATACAACAACCACGAACATCTCGTAATATTTCTTCGGGGAAATCTTCAAGTTTCAATGGAAATCTGGCGCATGCGCAACAAATTTCCCAGCTGTTTA